AGGCTGGGAGTTTTTAAAAGCCTCAGGAATCTTTTGCAGGTGTTTAGAGTTACGTCGTTGATTCAGATGGTTAGGTTAATAGCTTGTTTAGAGAACCTTTTCATGATATGCTAATTTGTTGGGACAGGCATTTTGGGTTTTCATGAGCTGTATGCCATAATCATCAGTATTAAAACAATTAAAGACCTGAAATATTTCAGTTGGTGTGCAATGAATCTGAAATATATGAAAGTTTCATTTTTATCATTACATTATGGAAAATAATGACCTTTATCACAATATGCTAATTTTTTTAGAAGGACCTGTATGTTGATTTCTGCAGATAATAACTTGTCTAATTTTTTCATCCACCACAGCTTCGTCAAAGACAGCAGCAGTTTCAGACTTCATTACCCATGAGCACCTTGTACAAAACCACGCCTTTGCACTCTGACTGGGTGCCTTCTGTCCCATTTCACACGTTTGCACTTTTTCAGTCAATGGCTGCCTAATGTCCCTGATGTTGCCTTGTATCTAGAGGTCCAGTGACTAAATTACCCATGAGCACAATGCTCATCAACAATCCCCCACACACACAAACTGTCTGATATGAACAGGTCTCTCTTGAAAATGAGTCCTTGTGACTCAATGAGACTAATCTGTGTAAATAAACATCAAAGTTCATGCTCAATAATCCAGATCCTGATTACTGAGCATGAACTTTGATGTTTTGAACACTTCGGCCATGGCTGCCTCAGAGGAGTCAGTGGGGGAGAGGGTGGACTTCAGAAACCATCTTATCACACTACTGTTTATATTCACACTGCTGCTTATATTACACTACCGTTGATATATATATATATATATATTTTTTTTTTACTAGCCTTATTGCATATGTCACTTTACCTACAACAATATCAAGGACTTCATACATACACTGTGTACATTCACTTCCTATGCTGCTTTGCCACTTTCTACAAATATCAATGTCAGGACCTTCACTTCATTTCATTTTATTTTACAGATACTTTTTAAAATATTTTTTATACCGCTATATTATAATTTAAGACAGTATCATGCTTTCATTATTTCATTTTATACTTATGTTTCTTAAATGTTTTAATGTTAAATGGTTATTGTTGTCTGAGAGTAATGTAATTTCAATCCTGTGTATGTCCTGTACATGTTGCAGTTTTTGACAATAAAGTGACTTTGACTTTTGATCACCATCAAATTGGTCGTCCCACTATGGGAGTGTGCTGCTTGTGGGACTGAGTTTGTTGTGGCTCCTCGGACTGATCAAGTGTTTTGGATGAAAGACGAAACATTTCACTTCAACACAAAGAAACCGTCCAGAGGACCTGACTGAACTTTGTTGGGCTGTATAAAGAAAGGTTGAATGAATGATCTCTGATGCCTCCTGTCCAGTATTAACACTTTCAATGGAAGTGAAGAAAAGAACGAACCTGTGAAGTTATAAGCTACATTACAGATATTATTGTGAAAAGGTACTAACAAATCTGTCTATATTGATTTGCTGATTGATTCTTTCAAAATGGGTAGCACGGTGGCTCAGTTGGTAGAGCTGCCACATCTCAACGGGAAGGTCACCGGACCAAATCCTGGTCGGGGGCCTTTCTGGGTGGAGTTTGCATGTTCTCTCCGTACATGCGTGGGTTTTCTCCGGGTACTCCAGTTTCCTCCCACAGACCAAAAACATGCATGTTAGGCTGATTGGTAACTCTAAATTGTCCCTAGGTGAAAGTGAGAGTGAACGGTTGTTTTGTCTTGTTTGTCTCTGTGTCCCTGTGATGGACTGGAGACCTGTCCAGGGTGACCCCACCTCTTGTCTCTCGCACAGTAACTGCTGGATATGGGTACCAGTGACCCCCATGACTCGAAAAGGAAGAAGCAGGTAAAAGATAATGGATGGTTTCTTTCAAAATGTAATGTACCTGTATTCATCAGTAGGGTGTGCAATTTCAATTATATCCCCCAAGTTGACCTGAGGGAATACTTTAGGGTTGACAACGAGCTCGTCATCTGTTCAAAGAAAAAAACAGATTATTAACAACAGTTTCAACTTTTCACAATAAAAGCATATCAAATGTGTCAGAATATGGGCTCAAACAGAACACACATTTCTTCTTACCACTTCCACCAAACCCTTTCTTGTGAAGAACAAGTTTGTAGGACTTGTTGGTCTTCATGATGAGCAGGAACAAGTTCAGCAGTTCATTTCTAGAAGGTAAAATAAATTAACATGAGGACCTTACAGCAGGTCGGTTCCTCTCTGAGCTGACTTGGCTGCTTTTTGCCTCCAGACAATGAATTTGGGATTTTCCTACCAGACAGGGCCAAGACTAGGGCTAAGTACCGAACCGAGGTTCTTTTATGGCACCCACCGAACTGCACCGGTCGGTGTATGGATTGAAACATCAATCTTTTTTCAGTGTCAAGTTTTGGTATTGGCTGTAACATGTCACGTGGTTTCAGCATGCAGGCAGGTAAAACACCAGACATATGACAGAGTACGTGTTTACACCCAGAGCTGTATAGAGCTGCCGTACCTAATCTATGTGTAATGTATGTCTATGGTGCTAGTGGCGCCCACAGACGGGGTTCACGTGTGCGGCGTGTGTTGTCGAACGGCTTCGACAACACACGAGCAGAAAGTTGCTCCGTGTTTCTCTGCAAGAAGTGAGACGGACAGCAGCCTCCCCCCTCCTCTCAGCGTTAGTCAGTCTGTGTGTGCTAAACGGACTCAATCAACATCCACGGCCCGACTCTTCTTCATGAAAGAACTCCCGAGGACGGCTCTGTGTCCGTGTTTCATCTGGTGAGTTTACTTTTGTTAACGTTACTGCAGCTTAACATGTACATCGCGGTGAATTAAACTAGATCCATGTAATGCTAGCTTTAAGATATTAGTGTGTAAATTTATTTTATCTACGTAGCTAGCTAAACTCAGAAGCTAACTAAAGATCGACAGTAACAGATGAAGCTTAGCTTGTAAAACTGTGCTCATCCATCCAGTCAGCTGCTTAAACAGTTCAGCTGATTTTCACTGTTTGTTAATGTTCTCCTCACAGGAGGTTCTGACCCAGATGTGAGGACAGAGACAAAAGAAAAGCGAGGTGGGGGCCACAGGACAATCACAAACTTTATTGTTAAAAGTTTACTGCCTTTTTCTACAGTGGAAGCTGCACGGTGGAGGTAAGTTAAGCTGTACAGGATGTTGTTGACCAGTTAAACCTTTATCTCTCAGCCTAGATAATGTTTTGTGAGCAATAATAACACAACCATGTTATTGTTGATGTTTTGTGTTCTCGTGTCAATTAGGGAGATGATCAGAGCCCTAAACCACAGAGAAGATTCAGGCAGAGACACAGAGGTGCAGAAGTCTGCATCAACCCTAACCTCAGTGAATCCAGTGACCTGCTGGTGGAATGTGAGGGACAACATGTCAGTGCTGTCAAACTGGTCAACCAGGTATCTGTGTGTGCAACAAGCATCATCTACAGCCTCAGAGTGACCATTTTCTACTGCTGGAGACACCATCAGTCAGGAGCAGCTTGTTTGTGTCCAGAGAAAACAGACATGTTGATGTTTCTGAAGAAAAACTGTTCAGTGAAAAGGTCCTCAGTGTGAAGCAGTGAACATTAGACACTGACATGTCACTGGTTTGAAACTGGTCTTTTGAACTGGAAATTATTTGTTTTTTTTTAATGTAAGAAAATTTGGAATGGAAAAATACCCAAGTTAAAAAATAAAACTCACAATATGTACTGTAATGTGTAACGTAATTTTATTCTTGTTAGAATTAATAGTAATTACAAAATTGGTACAGAAAAAAGAACCGTCCAAGAACCGACACCGAAGTGAAGGTACCGACACCGGGTTTTTTTTGTTTTTAGAAAGGTACCAAGCCCTAACCATTGTAGTATGACATATGCAGGATATATTCATACTGTTTAAGACGGGTTCTTCATTTTTCTGACTGTGTCAATGTCGTGCGTTGAGTTTAACAGAAATGTAACGAGAGACGTTATTTACCTTTGACCCATCAAAATGAATGCGGTCATTTATTTGCAGAATCAAAGTTTAACATCACACATTTACATTAATTTGGCAGAATATGAAAACAATAACATGGCTAGTTTCACAGAAAGTTGGAACAATACGGAGATTGTCCTCACTTCTCAGCAGAACAGCAGACATCAATCACACGGCGGTGATTGAGAACTTTGCTTCAGATATTTCTAAAATATCTGTAATGATTTTAGGAGAAAGGAGAGTTTAAGATGGAAAATGGAGATTTATCTTACAGAGAGATGTGTGAGGGAATTAATCTGTTTGACCAGAAACGTGCACGCTCCTTCAGTTCTCAGCTTGGTCACGGTACGCTTGGTCGAAGTAGAACTTTTACCTGGTTGACGATAGGTCAGCGTCGGTATAGAATCCTTCCTTTGACTCTTTCAGCGTCTCCGTTGAGAACAGCTAAAATACTTCGAGAGTCGTGCGAGATTATCCAAACAGAAGTTATAATTCCCAAAATCGTCACTGCATTCTATATTCCAATAGAAGCATTCTGGACGCCTGCGTTAGCATCCAAGAACTCTGAACTCTTTAACTCTCTTCAGAGAGTTAAAGTCTGGAACTCTTCTCCAGGAAAAACTTTCAAGCTCTGAAAACTCCCATGTTGAACTCAATCTCAATCTTGAGCGCAGCCGCTAGACTGGGAAGTTGCCACATTTAAATGGGTCGACTTCCGGGTCATTTGAGAGCTTTTTGATTGGTCGATGGACCAGAACAGAGGTGTGGTTTGTGATGTAAGGTGTTATGAAAAGTCAAGGATTGTTTTAGTGACAGACAGAAAGATTATTGGAGAACTTCAGACTTCGTGGAGTCTCTACTCTTATTATCTGCTGTAACAGTTAAACATGACATTTCTTTTTCAGTAAACTTTTAGTTGACCGAAACTTGAACCTTAACATACTTACAAATTTGCTCATTGAAGACAGAAAAATCAAGAAATGCATATTACCCTGATTTCTTCTTTGAATGAGGAATAAAAATCATTACTTACTGTTTATGTAAATAAAAATGAATAGTTCTCTTCAACCTGTAAACATTGAGTGAACTAACACAATTTGATTATCAAACATTTGTAAAATAGTAATGATTATAGAGAATTGTCTTTTCTACTTGATTAATTCAAGAAAGAAAGTCTCAGGATGGGTCAAACTGTATTTCTGGGTGCAGATCAATGAAATAACAGTTTCTGTCCCACAAGGTTCTTAAGGTCAAGTGTTTCGACCTTAGGCTTATTACTTCAGGTTAGGTTCACTACACCATCAAATTAAAAAATAACAATAATTAAAAAAAAAAATTTAAGCTAATTTTCTTGGCTTGGGTTATAGTAAGAACAACAACAACAACAACAACAACAACAACAACAACAACAACAACAACAATAATAATAATAATAATAATAATAAGACTCTACATTGATAATAAATAGAAAAAGTATCCAGATGTCCATTAGGATCAAGCTTTTTACTTTATTTTATTTTGATTGCTCCAATAAAAGAATGCTTAATTTTCTTGAATCTGATAAACAAAAACTTTTGAACAACCCTGTTGTTGACTGTTGGTTCATGTTTTCAATTATCTAAATTCCAAAATTGAACCATTTTAATTCAGTAGCACTTTTTTCACTGGCAAACGTTGGTTACGTACTGTAACCCCAGATTCTATGAGTATAAGCGAAGCCCTTTAAGGCTGTCGCTGTTGGGTTATCCCGATATGCGGAGCATCACACTGAAAAATTTAGTCCACGCCCACCTGCTGTGTGGGCCCCACCCGGTCCGTATAAATTATGTTAAGAGCGGGAAATCAGCTCCCAAATAGCATTTTCTTCAGCCACTTAGGAGCCAGTGAGGCCCGACGCTTAAAGGGCTACGCCTATACTCATAGAATCTGGGGTTACAGTACATAACCAACGCTCTATTTCGTATAAGCTTCGCCCTTTAAGGCTGTCGCTGATGGGTTAAGGGTGAAGCAGATGTGGTCCTCGCCTCACTGGGTCCATTCGAACACCGTATGAAGTAGAAGCTTGCCCAAAAAACGTCTTGTCACTCAGCTCCCCATGTGCGTAATTACGCATTGCGTAATTATGTGTGCTATGCACAGACGCATGTTGTGTAACTATGCGTTCTGAATGCATGAATGCCCCGGAAAAAAATTCAACGGGGAGGGAAAATATGCTGAAAAGAGCCATGAACCAACCGGTTATGGCTGAACAATATGAACAGATTAATAATAACAGGAGAGCTGATTATTAATCAAATGAACTGATTGGTAACAATAGTCATGAACTGATTAGTGACAACAGAACCAAAATAACAGTCACAACTTGTGACTGACACCAACATCTCACACTGTAATGCATGCAGACAGATGTGAGTTAAACCGAGTTCCATGAAACAATAATATTCATTCTGTAAAACACTAAAGACAGAATGTGTCATGGGACGAGCCGTCACATCACGTAGATAAAAGCGAATGAATGAGCAGGGTGTTGACCACGCGGCCGCAGTACAAAATGTCCTGCATTGTCATACCATTATGCAAGGCAGTCGAAGATGCGATACCTCTGGTCGAGTGTGCTCTGAGGTTGACAGGAGGCTCTAAAACTGATGCTCTGTAGGCTTCAGAAATGGCCTCACACAGCCAGTGTGACAAGCGCTGGGTGGATAACGGGCGACCTGCAGGTGCATCTCTATAATGCACAAACAAATGTTGAGTTTTACGCATTGCAGCTGTGCATGTTATGTAACACGTCAACGCCTGCACCGGACAGAGAAGATAGAAAAACGCCTCTTCTTCTGATTTGTGGGGGGAAGGGAAAAACCCCTCCAACGATATCACCCTTGATTTAAAAGAGCTCGTGATGTTTTAGGCATAAAGCTGGATTTGGTCTTAAATCAGCTGAGCTGCCGTCAGCCTGAATTCTGAGACATGACGGAGCGACAGAGAGGGCAGATAAATCACTCACTCTCTTAGCGGATGTTAAAGCCAGCAGCAGGGCTGTTTTAAGAGACAAGAATTTAATTGGGACCTGATCCAGAGGCTCAAATGGAGCTTTGATCAGGGCTCGCAGGACCAGCGTTAAAACCCACTGTGGAGCAAGTGGGTGAAACAGACCTGCGTCTCTGTACACCTTTTAGAAAAC